TCCGAGTTCAGTCTAGGGGGTTAAGGCCAGGAGCAGCAGTCTGTACCAGTATCATGTCATAGGATCAGGTCAGAGTTTAAGACGATGATGAGCCACACCAGGTGGGAGCCAAGTGAGCCAGCCAAAGCAGCGCTAGTATACCGGAGGCAAGGTCAGGTGTCAGGAGTGGGGCAGGGGACCAGGAACCAGGAGCAAGGCTTGGGTTAGGAATAAGGCAAGTTATCAGGAGTACATAGCAGGGTCTCTTTACAGCAGCAAGCCAGTGATCTGTCTAGTTGCACAGACTGCTTCCAGGTGTTTTCCTTAGGCCGTAAATAGCATGCCTGTACAAACTTGGAATGCAGTTGCTATTTAACATCCTCCCCAGTTACTGATGGAACAGAAAGTACTTCATTATCACTATATGATATAAATATATCATTTTGCTTCTTTCTGAATACAGAACAGAAACATTTATTGAATACTTCTGCCTTTTCTGTACTATAGTTAATTTTACCATCCTTGTCTAGTATCATACCTATATCGTTGCTAAGATTCCCCTTTTTTCGTGTTCCTGATATATTTAAATAATTCCTTCCTTGTTGTCCTTAATCCTAAAGGCCACAATTTTTTTCATTGATACATTTAGCTTCCCTTATCAACTGTCTGCATTTCCGAGCTGCCAATTTATATTCATTTCTATCAGCTGATCTAGCTTTCCATTTGTTATATACTGTGTTTTTATTTTTTATTACTGCTCTTACCCACCATCTTAAGCAGGATGGTTGATTAACCAAATAAGCCTTCTTTTGTGACTGTGATGTTATTTTAAGAGCTTTTTTTTCAAATGATCAATTTCCCAATTACCATCAACATTTTTATATTTAAATTTTTGCTCATGATTTCATTCAGCTTTGAGAAATTGGCCTTTTTTAAAGCACTAACAATGTGTATTACAGGTCAGAAATATACTCTGTTTGCACATAGCAGAAGGATTTAGATCGTGATCACTGGCACTTAAGCAACAATTAACTGAGACCTCCGTGATCAATTCATCTTTATCCACCAGATTGAGGTCTAATACAGAGTTACCTTTGGTTGGTTACAATACTTTTTGTGTTAGAAAGTTTCCATCTATAACTTTTAGATGCTCCAAGGATGTTTCACCAGTGACAGGATGAGACTTCTAGCATACATCTCCAAGATTGAAATCTACACTGACCCATAAGCATATCAGTTTCTCTCTCTCTGAATGGTCAATAATTCCAAGGCAGGTAATGGTATATTTGATATTACGTGTAATGTAGTGGTTCACCATCTCCATCCTGGGTGTTTTTATTATAAAAGAGAATAACAAAAAAAAAAAAAAAAAGGGGGGGGGGCAAATTAAGCTAACAGAAAGAAGTTAGCAGATTCATTCCCCCTCCAAGGCCCCCTAAGAGAAAACCCTGTTTTGCACACGATCCTTTTCTACCAGTCAGTCCTCAGTCCTCCCCAGTGGTACTACTGCCACACCGTCCGGCTTGAAGTAGTAATAACAAACACCAAACACATAGTCTCCATGATCAGTACCACCACTATAAAAATTGTTCCAGGCCCATGCTGTTCCCACTTGTCTGACTTTGTTCTAATAACAATCCCTAGTTCTACTCCCTCCAGAGTCCCAATGCTCTTAGTATTTGATCGGTAACATCCATTCATTTCCCCTTCAACATGCCTCAGAGCTGAAAAACCTCTCCCTTACCTTGTATCCTGTCCATGTGTCTGTCCATTTGCCACTGTGACTCTCTTCTGACGACTTCACAAGGGTCAGTGCCCTGATCTACAAACAACAATTTTTAAACGTGGTATCACCTAATTTTTAAAAATGTGGGAAGAGCCAGGCAGTCCCCAGCCCTGCCTGCTCTCCTCTCCCCCCATGCTTCAACTGGCCCCAGCTCCAGAACCATCACCAACTTGGCATCACAAAGGGGCTGAGGGTTTCCCAGACAACCAGGTAACAGGACAGTGGAACAACCTATCCAGGGGACTAACTGCACTGGCCTGATCTGAGCCTAACAGCCTCTCTGAGAGGATTTACCCCAATCCTGCTGATTTTCTCCTCCTAGTTGGGTTTCTGGGTGCTAAGGATCACCCAAAGCTGGAAGTTTGTCAGGGGACAGTTTGAGGAAAGTCTTGGGAAAGGTATGAGTGGTTTCAACCCATATGAGAGCTGTCGGATCCCTTGATATTCCAGTTATGCCTCATTTAAAACACAAAACCATTCCAGTGTCACCCAGTCCTGCCCACAGCATCCCCTACTATTCTAACTCCACTCCACTCCCCCCCAAAAGTGTTATGTTACCTTAATTATAGGTTTTGCTAGCCACTCTATATACACCATAGTGTAGTAAAGGATAAAGAGAAACAATAGCTGTACTATATATCTAATGGCGAGGGCAAATGACACTGCAGAGACCTGCAATCAATTATAGTTATCATGCTCCTCAGATGCTCTTTGCATGTTGATCTGTCTCTGGTAAGACTACTTCTAACATTTCAAACCTCTTAGTTCTGCTTCAAATGGCTGCCTTTTAAAAATCAACCTGACAAAAATATTTCCTTCTTGTTGTCCTTTTCCTCCACAGGTGGAATTTTCCTGGGTACGGAATGGCAATATTCAGTCTTCCTCTCGTGAGATGTTTAAGGTCTAATATCTCACACCCTGTTTAGATTAGAACTGAAGCTGTAGAGCACTGGAAAAGGGAGGTCCCCGGTGTTCAAGTGGAACAAGCAGCATGTCCTTCTAGCCCAGGTGTTCTCAAACTGGGGATCGTGATTAAAGTAACATAACACTCAGGAGGTCACGAAGTTATTACATGGGGGGTCGCGAGCTGTCAGCTTCCACCCCAGACTCCAAAATTTACAATAGTGTTAAATATTTTTTAAAAGTGTTTTTAATTTATAAGGGGGGGTTGCATTCAGAGGCTAGCTGTGTGAAAGGGGTCACCAGTACAAAAGTTTGAGAATTCCTGTTCTAGTCCCAGTAGGTCCCAACATATCAGTACAAAGTCATGATAGCTATATATGTGTTAGTTATTAGAACTGATTAAAATTTTTCATGTAGGAAGTTTTCCCGCCAAAAAGTAAGTTTTCCTCAAAAATGAAAATTTTCATAGGAAAATATAAATTCTGACCAAAAAATTAGTTTTCCTGTGGGAAATTTCAAAATAAAAATTTTCCTTTCAAATTTCCATTTTGAAACCAAATGGCCATTTTCATTTTGACTTAAAATGTTGTGTTTCACTTTTTCAGTTTAAAAAAATAAAATCCAATTTTGAGTCAAAATGTCGAGTTGAAATGAAAATTGTTAATTTGAATCAGTTCAAATCTTCCCCTGAGGCCACCAGCATTTTTTGACCAAACATTTTCTAACAAAGATTTTTTTGTTTAAAATTTCTCATGGGAAAAATTTTGGCTTTCTAACCAGCTCTACAATATGGATCATTTTTTAATATGTTGGTTATAATTTTTCTCTCCCTCTGAGCTCTGCACAGTTGGGGCCAAGATAAATAAGGCAGGTGGCTTTCCAGGTGGAAGGATACAAAATATAGCCCCAATGACAATTTTTAGAACATCCTGAAAATATCTCTAACATTTCTAAACATATGTGGCATCTACAGAAACTTTAATGGTATGGAACAAAAGAAAGGTTAATGTGCATTCATTTGGATGGACCGGTGTATCTCACTGTCTTTGTTGCAAATGTTCAAACGTAAGTGTAGCCGTGTTAAGCAACAAAATTCATATTTAGGCCCCTGAAGAGAAGTGGCCTGATCACAGTGGCTCCCCTTGACTTCTGGCCATTTATTTTTCTATTTTGAGACCTAAATATGGATCTACGTTTGAAAGTATGGGCTGAAGTGCCTTGCACAAGGTTTCACAGCAAAGTCTGTAGCAGCAGCAGATTAGAACCTGGTATCCATTGAGTCCTAATCCCCTGATCTAACCATTAGTTACTTTGCCTCAAATAAGCATAGTAAAAAGATGCAGATGAAATCAGGACCCAGCTCTGATGCCATTTCAATAGTTCTGAACCATAAGCCATTTGTGTCTCCTCATCTGTTGAGTAATTGACAGAAGATCTCCTGGAGTTTCTTATCTGGTGCCAAATTGGCTTGAAGGATAATGTTGTTATCAGTCTCAACAACAATGGGGCCTGGAAGGGCTGTATCCTGGAGCATGACCAGAGACATGAACATCCTCCTCACTGAGAAGAGCAAACTTGCCATCCTGTGGGAGAAGCAGGAGGGCTTCCCCAAGCAGTGTGCCCCTATCTGGATGTTGGCCATGGAAAAGAGCCCTGGCCTCTCCTGGAGAGGGATGTGTGGGTTTGAAGAGCCTGAAATATGACTAAAACTCAGGACTGGCAATGAGAGGAAAAGAAAAAAAATGTCTACTCAAATTCCACTAACAGGAAACCACATGCATCACATAGCATTTCTAGATTGCAGTATCACATGACATAGGTGACTACAATGTTTTGGCAGATTCGTCCCTTTTCGGGTATTTGTGACAGAAAAATTAGCATGGAACGTTCTAGAAAAACCTATGTGAATAGTCATGTACTGGAGGTGTCACCTCAAGAGCCAAGAGGATATTGAAGTCTCAAGAGTACCAGCTGTGCTAATGGGTGGTTGTGGTTATGTAGGTACATGTGCACTAGGAAGCCACCCCTTTGTTTCCCAATTGTATTTCTGATCCATGCTCTGTGACCTGCTGTGACCACTGGCCCCTACGCACCCTGACCCTGGGAAACCTACTGCATCCCTGTCCTGACCTCAGCCCTTACGCGCCCTGCCTGGTCCCAAGCAGGCTGCTGCCCTGGGCTCTCTGCTCTGACCAGCGGGCACTGAACCGTATCCCAGAGGGCGAGCAGCAGCCCCCTCCCTGGGGCCCTCAGCGCCTCTCCAGCCCCCGCCGCCCCGCAGGCAGGGGCGGGGACTCCGCGCGCGACGGAACCTCCCTCTTGGTGCCCGCGTTTCCGCCCGCGCCGCTAGCAGCGCTGCACCGCGTCTCCGGAGAGGCTCGGCGCGGGACCCCAGCTGCGCCCAGCGGCAGTTACCGGCAGAGGCGGGGAGGGAGCTGCCGACAGACGCGATGCAGTGAGCGGGCGGGCCGGCCGGGTTGGCCATGGCTTCCCCGTTCCCGGCCTCGGCCGGCAACAGCGGCGGCGAGCCGAGCTCTGGGGAGGAGTCGGGCGGGCCGGAGGAGGAGGCCCGGGCGCTGGCGGAGCAGTTCGAGCGGGCGGCCGAGCGACTGCCGGGGCTGATGCAGGCGGCCAGCAGGGAGCAGCTCCTCTACCTGTACGCCAGGTACAAGCAGGTAAGGGCCGGGCTATGGCGGTGACTCCCCGCTTCTAGCGCCTCTATCCAGCGCCGGGCACGCTGAGGTAGGGCTTGCTAAGCGCTCCCGCGCAGGTGCAGCGCCAGCGGTCTTGGCCATTGCACCGCGAGTGTCCCAAGATTGTGGGTCCTGCCTAAAGCCCAGCAGCCCCGTGGCTCTGAGGGAATCTCACCCTTCCCTAGAAAGGTCTCAGGCCTCGTGCTGGCAGAGAGAAGCTGGGAAAAGGGGTCCGAAAGCACCCTGAAGGCCTTGGAGTTGGAAAGTAAAGGACAAGGATTCTTGTGCATTTATTTATTTTAAAATCTTCTCGTTATAAAGAAATTTGGTGGGGTTTTGTTGTTGTTTTGTTTGTGGGTGAGGCCTGACTCATGACTGTTCAGTGCTTGGGGTTGACACTGCTGCCTGTGCATGGCTCTGGGTGGTATTTCAACCTTTGTCCAGCCTGGTGGGGACCATGTGTTAGCTGTCACTTTGGGCTGGATGTAGTGTGAGGTGGAGATCAGCCACAGTCAATTGATGGCGGAACACAAGTTAGCTTTTGTTACTTTATGACCCTTATGTATGTGAACAACCCCTCTGAAGTTAGTAAAAAGAAAAGGAGTACTTGTGGCACCTTAGAAACTAACACATTTATTTGAGCATAAGCTTTTATGCATCCGATGAAGTGAGCTGTAGCTCACGAAAGCTTATGCTCAAATAAACTTGTTAGTTTCTAAGGTGCCACAAGTACTCCTTTTCTTTTTGCGGATACAGACTAACACGGCTGCCACTCTGAAATCTGAAGTTAGTGGAGCTCCATGTGAGAGCCAAGGGTCCACCCATGTGGATCCTACTGCAGGACTGGGGCCTATGAACGAAAGAGCAGTGGCAGTGCTAACTTTTCCACAGCAACAATGTTTCTCAAGTGGTTTTGGGAATTTCCCTCCTATCCTTACAGGTATTTCAGTGTTCACCCAGCCCATGTATTGAAACCGACAACATGGAAGGAGAGTGTCAACTGAGACAGTAGTTTTATAACAGGTGTCTCTCTATTATGATCTAAATTAAGACCCTTCTCATTGCAGACCACCTAGCAGATAGTACACTTTCTATCACCTGCATCAGATTTAAGGCATTGATTTAGGCACTGATCCTACAAGCACTTAAGCACAGGCTTAGCTTTAAGCACATAAGTAGTCCATTGAAGAGCTAGCTGGTCACTTGTTGCTTGGTGTTTTCTGTGTTTTGTGTTGCTTCTACAGGTGTCCAACCTTTGGACTGTAAAAGGAGCTGGAAATGACAAAGGACTGCTAATCTAGCTGCCTCCATTTGGGATTACTGCTATGTTAGAGGATGAAAGGAGCTGCGCTCTGGAGCCTCCAGTGTGACTGAAACTGCCAGTCACCAGCAGGAGATGAGTGTCCAGCAGTGAAGGGATCAGATAGTGTGCTCAAAAAGGAGATTGGGTAGCCAGTCCAAGAGAGCAGGAGACAAGCACTGGGAATCTTGTGGAGGGGTCAAGGAGTTGATGATCAGATGGCAGAGAATCATGAAGGGAGCATGAGAAGATAGAACAGAACTGATTGGAATGCAAGATGAAATGAAGAATATGAGTAGACAATGGTTTGTTTTTTTTTTGGGGGGGGGGGGGGGGGGTTAGGTCAAATGGTTACTACATTAGAAATAGCTAAAAATACCTACTATTACATTTCCATGTAAATCACTGCTCTTGATGCAATCCAACTGTGGATGAGATCTGGGATGTGGTTCATGAGATAGGAGGCAATGCACTAGAATCTCTCTAGTGGGATATAGTCCTGCCTGTATAAACGTTTAACAGACCTTGCTCCAGGAGGTCCAGGTCCAGGAGGTTTCTGTTGCTCACAATGTGGCCTTCTCATACCATCTCAAGTGTTTCATAGCTCCATTGTGTGGAAAAGAGAATACAGTACAGTATGTCAGCTTTATGGTTGCATTGACATCTGATATTGGGCTCCAGGGGATTTCTCATTGCCAGTTGTGAGACGAGAAATGAGGAGCTTAATGTTGTTTAGCTTGAAATTACTATGAGGAAATTCTTCAGAAATTGTTTTCACAAACTCTTGATTTGTTCCAAGCAAAAAGGAGCTGCTAACTGCATTGAGTCACCACATGTTTCAATAGCTGAGGTTTTAGACTGCTGGCAGAGAGGTGTGTGCAATGCATTTGACTGCTCCTATAGAGTAACAACATAATCTGGTGTGTCTTGTTGACCGTATGCATTAACAGTATCGTTTTGGGATGTCGTGTACACAACAAATTACGGAACAAATATATTTTAAAAAAAAAATCTCGTAAGGGTCTTACCTCTGGAGTCCAGGATGTTTGTAGGCAAGGCTTCCACTCTGTTCTTATCTCATCCTCCTGTGTTCAGTACTAATGCACATACTCAACCTTTTAGAAGACTCTGTGTTTCGCATTGTCTAGACACAATGGGGCTGGTTAAGGAAAGAGCCTACATTTTTCAGATGTGGGCATCACTCCAGTTAAAGTCAGAGGGAGTCTTGCAAGCACAAGCTGCTGCAGGATCAGGCCCTGTTAACTCTGATGTTTTTGATCTGGCATTTTATGATTTAAGATGAAACTACAGTACTTAACACAACTTCTTTCTAGTCACAGAGGTCATATCAATATGAATAGTAGGCTGCTAATGTATTATCCAGTGGACAGTAGTATTACTTGTGTGCAAAAGGTGCTGACTCTAGATCTGTCTGCTGTTCCTGATTTGACATCCTTGTCTGTCGTCAAGATAGTATTTCTTGTCACCAAAGGCTTTGATTTAAGAGGCAACAACACCATAAAAGAGATGACAATAACAGCTGAGTTCTCTGTTAAAATACCATTCAACCTCCCTGGTCACTCAATTACAGACCTAAAAGTCGCAATTCTTCAAGAAAAAAACTTCAAAAACAGACTCCAACGAGAAACTACAGAACTGGAATTAATTTGCCAACTGGACACCATTAAATTAGGCTTGAATAAAGACTGGGAGTGGATGGGTCATTACACAAAGTAAAAACTATTTCCCCATGCTTATTTTTTCCTCTGCTGTTACTCACACCTTCTTGTCAACTGTTTGAAATGGGCCATCCTGATTATCACTACAAAAGTGTTTTTTCTCCTGCTGATAGTAGCCCACCTTAATTGATTAGTCTTGTTAGAACTGGTATGACAACACCCATTTTTTCATGTTCTCTGTGTATATATATCTTCCTACTGTATTTTCCATTGCATGCATCCGATGAAGTAGGTTTTAGCCCACGAAGGTTATGCCCAAATAAATTTGTTAGTCTCTAAGGTGCCATAAGTACTCCTCGTTCTTTTTGCTGATACAAACTAACACGGCTACCACTCTGAAATTTGTTAAAATACTGTACATTATTTATCTAAAACTATTTAGATATATAAACCTTCTCCTGGAGTTTTACTGCCTTTTATTGGAGTCAGTTTCAGATATTTATTAATTTTGTTTGTGTGTCAGAAGCTTGAGAATAAGGGAGCTGTTCAGTTGTTGGCTCTAGTTAGACAATGGTGCCAGGGCCTGCTAGGGCTGAACTTCAGTAAGAGAGGAAGAATTGTCCAGTGGGTAAGGGTGCTAGCCTAGAACTCTGGAGACTGGTGTCAGATCTCTGCTCTGCCACAGACTTCTGGTGTGACCCTGGGCAAGTCATTTAGTCTCTCTGTGCCTCAGTTCCCCAGCAGTAAAATTGGTATTGTGAGGATAAATGCATTAAAGATTGTGAGGTGCTCAGGCACTACAGTAATGGGGGCCATATAAGTATCCATTGTAGAAATAGAATAACTAGTTGACAAGAGTCCAGTGCCTCATGAGTAAGGCTACGTTTTGGTCACGGATATTATTAGTAAAAGTCACGGACAGGTCACGGGCAGTAAACAAAAATTCATGGCCATGACCTATCCGTGACTTTTACTAATAATACCACTGAATAAAACTTGGGTAGTGGACTGCCTGGGGCCCCAAGGGTGCGGGAGGAGGGTGTCCAGGCTTCTTGGGGTGGAGGGAAGACCCCCACTGGTGCTGGGGGGACGCGGGTGGCAGCATGCGGCCCAGGACCCCCACTGGTTCTGGGGTGAGGTTGGCGGGGCCAGCAGGCTCCCTACCTGGCTCCGTGCCCACCCTGCAACAGCAGCAGAGTTTGGGTGTGGGATATGGGGGGGTTGGGGCACAGGACGGGGTGAGACAGGCTCTGGGTGGCGCTTACCTGGGAGGCTCCCTGGAAGTGGCAACATCCCCCCTCACTCAGCTCCTAGGTGGAGGCTTGGCCAGGCAGCAATGCATGCTGGTTCCTCCTGCAAACCCCATCCCCGCAGCTCCCATTGGCCATGGTTCCCAGTCAATGGGAGCTGTGAAGCCAGCGCTCTGGGCGGAGGCAGTGTGCAGAGCTGCCTGTCCATGTCTCTGCCAAGCAGCTGAGTGAGGGGGATGTCGTGGCTTCTGAGGAACCCCCGAGGTAAGCGCTGCCCAGAGCCTGCCTCACCCTGTTCGGTGCCCCAACCTCCTGCCCCCTCACACCCAAATTCTGCTGCTGGGGGAGGCGGTGGCCAGAGACTGCCCCAGGAGTGGCTGGTGCGCCTGGCCTGGGGGCTTCTTTAGCTGCCCCTGAGCCAGGTGCACCGGCTGCTGCAGAAGTCATGAAGGTCACGGAAAGTGACGGAATCCATGACTTCCATGACAAACTCACAGCCTTATTCATGAGTGATCAGACTCAATGAAAGAGCTGCAGTATTTGAAGAAGGCTCTCCTAATAGCTATCTAAATGATGGGGTGGTCAGACAAAGTTTAAGTGTTAAAATCCTGCACTCGTAGAAAAACAGAGCTCACATTGATTGGTGCAGGAAATGCATAATTCTGTGTTTTTTATGTGACTTTTCCGTGTGATGATTTTTCAGGAATAGTAGAACATGATTAAACCACAAGTTTGTACTGAAAATAGATTTTG